TCTCAATTACTGATCAGAAACAAGTTAGCTAGTCACATGACCGATTTGCATATCCATTTTGATTGCATATACTATGCATGTACAACACACTTGCGGCCATCTTGCTTTTTGGCCATATTACTTTAAATGTCCATTCATTTTGAGTCAGGCTTATCCCAAAACAGTTTTAAAGATTCAGTTTAATGTTGCATGTCATAGATGCACCATCATGAAAACAAACAAATTAACAAACAAACAATTTAGTTTTGTTTTATGCATACAGTATCACTTACAGATTTCGTCAGCCATGTTGGAATATGCATGTGAACCTATTCTGATGAAAATTTACCAGCACATACCTGATAATTCTTTGCATATAAATGTGCTAATTTGCATATTATTATAATTAGTTGAATTTAATCAACTATTCTAAAAAAACTGCACACCAAATTTAAATAAAATTTGGTATGTTGGTAAAACTCAGACATACATAGTTGAAAGGTTTCATGAAGTTATTATTATACTATTATTATACTTTATTTCAGACTCAAAGGTCCATAAAGAAATTACAACAGAAATAACATTATTTACAAAGAAGGCGTCTATAATTGCGCCTAAAACTAGACCTTGGGAATAAATCACTATTTATACAAATATCAATTATACTATTGTCACTCTGAAACAATCGCTGTTTAAAATTGTACAATGATTTTCTATGAAAATATTTCTTCTGACACAATTACCACTAGCACTACTCGACCTCTCTAATTTAAAAATCAATCGAAGAGCATTGTTGTACGCTACATGCAGAGCACGCATCTGCTTACCAGTATAATTGCTCCATAAATTTAAGCAATAGTTACTATATAAAAATGAGCGAAAAAGAATACATTTCACATGTTCCGAACACTTCCCAAAGTTCCTCAAAAGAAGATTTGCTCTCGCATAAATTGACCTGAGTTGTCTACGCATGTCTCTAGCATCATCTCCAGAGGCTGACACAATGTATCTACCCCAGACCATTCGTCCCGGTGTTATCGCTATCGCCACACGAGACTCCAGCTTGTCTCCTATACAATTTGACTGCGCACATCCAGAAAGTAGATGTAGCTGTGATTGGTGGAATACTAATGAGTTGAGTGTCAATCAAACGCCCACGCTATCTTTAGTAAACAAAGTCACGTGACACGCGCCATTTTAGTTTTGATTAGTTCATCGGATCGGAGTGTCGGTGCTCGCCATCCATAAATCAAATCAAAATGATTTCTAATTGGAAATGGCATATTTTCATCAAACTCCTTTTCAACATCATGGTTGTTAATGTCCGTCACGTCGCTAAGTACATTTGAACTGCGGTCATCATTGCAAATTGAATGTGAGAAAGTTATGGAACGTCGTTTTGAACT